GAGACTTGCCACGGTCTCCAACCCTCCTCCTTTCTCATCCGGGCTTGGGACCGGCCATGGCGGAGTTCTTGGGACCGGCCATGGCGGAGTTCATACCTTGATAGCATGGTTTAATTACTGGAGTATGCACTCGACTATCTTTGTAGTCAGGGAAGTAGGGAAACCGGTGCATCGCATTGAGATCAAAGCTACAAACCCGGTACCAATAAAGCTCGTCGTCTAAACGATGGCAAATATACCAAATTTGACTTACCACGAGGAGACGCAAGATCGATTCGGATCTTACACTAAATTAGAGTCGCGCACTGTCCATCGCAGACTGCTAAAGATAACTATCTTTGCTTTAAATTATGTACGAAATGCAATTTCTAATCAATGCCTCGTTCTACCTCAAATTTCTTATGAAAGACAATCTGATAATACAATCATTTTTATCAAATAACCGCATATCCTCTATTCAAGACTATTTGGGAGAATTGTGTACATAAAACAGCATTTATACGAAACAATGGGTTCGTAAATAACAATTTGTATTTTGAAGCACATCGCGAATCTTGTCTACGTACAAAATAATAAACTTCTATAAATACTGCCTTTATTAATTATTCAATATATGCTTCTTTCGTAGCGTAAATAAAACTCGCCTTCAACAAAAAAACATTTTTTATATGACGTGCATCAAGATCTGGCTCTCGCAGAACTCATGTTAATTTCATGAAGAAGACAAAAACAAAATACCAAGTTCCAAAAAAGAATTTTACAATTCTAGGCACTTGATCACTGCCCAAGACCTCCGCCAGTCCTTTGACAGTATTGTTTTATTGCTGCATCTATCAAGCATGATTTCTGTTCTGGGAAAGGACTGACTTCAATGAAAACGATTTTGTTGTAATGTCCATCTGAAAAACAACATTTAAAAGTTGAGTTGATATCTAAGTTTATGCAGGTATTACAACACAGTATTGTGTGCAGTAGCCGCAACTTACACTTGCAGTTTGATGTTTTAATGATGACGACAATCTGAATTAAATTCGACCTCGCACCAGAATTCGCTGAGGTAGTACAGTGGCAATCACTACCAACAAATCAATCGCCGAATAGCGAGGATATCCAGGTACCGGAACTACCGAGAAAATGAAACTTTTGCCCGTCAAATCGAGGATACACCGTATCAACATTTTTAAATGCTTCCACCTATTTTTTGTGAAATCAGTCTTCATGAAAAGGTCTTTCACTCACCAGATAAGTAGGATTCAACGCTTGGGAAATTTTCTTTTCCACTATGCTCTGAAGGGCCATTCGTAAAGAGAGTATGATAAGACCTCTAAATGAACGTATGTACAAAACCACTTTTAACTCTGACTAAGGAACGAAATATTCACGCAAGTTTCAGTCATAATGAAGCAAAACACGACTACTACAGCAAAACTTTATTACACTCTGAACAAAAACCTTTGAAAAAGTGTGACATGTTCCATATAGTGAACATACGTACAATAATTGTAATTATGGAGCGCCAATACTCAATTAATAAGAAATAAAAACGAAACAAGTGCCGCCGCCAGAGGTTTGACCACTGACAGACAAACAGCAATGATGATTTTCTCATTTAGTCGACTTTTCTGGTTCTGCCTTTCGTTCTTGAACGACTACGTCTCGCGGTTTCGCTTCGCCAAAGATTTTTGAGCGCTGAGCCCCGTCCGCCAGATCATTCACTGGCCTGTTGACGCTGCGAGGCTGCAGCTTAAGTCTAGGTCGATTGGCAGCTTCGGCTATAAGAGCAATTCCAAATAAGCATCATTTTATAATAAACTTATATTAGGTTTAACAAAACTATCAATGAAACCAACTTTATTATTATATATTACATGACAGGCTTACTAATGAGTCAAAGAATCTCAGAAACCTGCCTGAAGTCATTAAAAGACTTTTACTGTCTTAGTCATGGAAGTACCGTTGCAGAAAACACTAAACAGTTACCATTCTCATTCTGTTGCATTATGTGAGAAATAATGCTCTTAAGCCATAACTTCTTCCTACCCTTTCTTTACTTTTGAACGGTTGCAGAGCCGAGCATATCCAAGATGTCCCAAATCTTGGACGTTTATTCGTTGTTCGTGAAAGGCTATTGGTTATTATGAGACCGTTGAAGCTGCTACGGCACCCCTAAAGAAGCTGTGCAAGCTGTACAATCAGCCGACGCCAAGCAACTAATATTAGTTTCTTCGGCAGCACGGAATCCGACTATGCAAGGCAACGACATGCACAATCTGCCAAGAATATATTTACCTGAAAATCTACAAAGTACATGCATACCAACTGCTCTAATTAAACAACCTTCAAATTCATATCAATACAATTCTGTGGATCGTTAAGAACGAATGTATCTTCTGATTCTGAGATTAGCAGAAAGAAAAAGCGATGTAAATTCACTATTTAACAATATACTAACGTTCTGCCTGAACGGATATTAGTCAGCATCATCAGAATATAAAAATATTAGCGTAAGGTAAATTGCCGTTTGACCGAACCGTCGAAAAAAAAACGATTCATGCCTATCTAAGCAAAGCGTTGGTGCGACTATCCATAAAGATCCTTCAAGTTATTTTTCATGCTGCTAGCCATGGAATCAAATAGCATCTTTACTTTGCCGTACCAACTGAGTCTTCTTTGTGAAGGTATTCTTTGTAACTGGTTCTGCAACGAAAATGCTCCTTAAGAAAGTATTCCAAATGCAACTCCTTTTGACGATACCATACATTCAACAGAGAATCAGCATTTTACGGAGTTCAGCATTTGATCGTTGCCCTTCAGACAAACTTCCTTTAGTTTGATGGGTATATTTTTGTCGCACAGTACGCCGCTCATCTCTTTCCACTGAGCCACGCTATTTTCGACGCATTTCTTAATTTACGGTCGATTTCCACATTGTTTTGTAGGATGGAACCAATGTTTAAATTCTTGAATTAGAGACAACATGCTCCTTGCTATATTAACTGACTGGTTCGCTTTCACTCCGTCTTCTCTAGTGAAATAGCCTGCCATATATTCAGAATTGCTTCTGCTGAGTCAACGGCCTTTCTCTTCAAAGACCGTTCTCCAAGCATCGTGTTTTGCATCTGGTGCATGCCTTTTCACTGCTCAACAAACATCATCTGCATAGAGCATATAGCACGGAACTGCTTCCTGTAGATCTTTAGTTATTGTGTCTGTCGCCATCAATAACAGAAATGGGCTCACTATTGAACCTCGATGGACCCATACCGGCAAAAGGTATTCTTCCGATTAGCCGCATCCATTTCGAGCCATCGTTATCACTCAGTGGCACGTCTTCAACGAGGCAAGCATTTTTCTCGCCCCAATTTCTTTCTCATATTCCACCAAATCCACTGCCTTCATATTCTCTTCAAAACTTTCTCCAGGTCTAGGAACATCAAGTAAAATGTCCATGCTAGCTTCTCTGTATGTTTCGAAAATTGATCGTAAGGCAAAGATAACGTTAACGTTCGTAGTTGACTGGCCTGGCACTAAGTGAAAATTATTTGTGGTGACGTCGACATCCTTCCTCGGTATTTTGTCCAGCATCCATTCATATAGCTTCATGACGTGAATACGCAGTTTAATTCATCAGTAGTTTTCAAGGCGAGCATGACCCCTTTCATTCTGAGTATTTGCATCAAAACAGACTGCCTCCATGATTCTAGCATTTTCTCACATTCCATAATGTTAATGAGCGGTACGTAAAGCCAAACCACGC